CGCGCGAGATCTAGCTCTTCAAACTGCACCTACGTCATCGATCCGGTAGTGCCGAGCATCAACTATATCCAACTGAAATCCATCACCATGCTTGGTATCCTTACCTCCCTCAATACCAGAGAACAAGCTTTCAGACACCATGGCACCAGGCGATAACCTACCCGATTTTCTCACGAACACCAAGCTCGACCCCAGCTTCGACAAAGACATTCTCGACACACATCTAATCTACGATTACGATGCGCAAGACAACGATGGCAACCCCGAAAAATGGCGGTACGAACTATGGTGTTTCTCTTCGGAACGTGTCGTATATGCCATCCACGGTGGTCCAATGGCTGGCCGCATCAACTACCAGCGCGCAACATACCAATGTATCCGCCCCGGCGAACTATGGCAGATCAACTGGCTCGAAGAGACAGGCAGCATCGTTTCTGCAGTCTACGACATCAAGGAGAAGAAGATGACGACGTTGATCGCCTTCTCGGAGGGCCACTGGAAGAGGGCGAAAGAGGCGCTGGGCGACAAGAGGAAGAAGGAGGATCTGGAGAGATGGAGGGGGCTGGCTGGTGTGGGAAACCAGACGTCGAGGTTCATGCTGAGCGAGCAGGCTCATGTTGTAGAGGTGTTCAAAGGCAAGGGTGGACTGGTACCGATCAAAGAGAGCGATCCCCTGTTCTGATCGTGTATAACCTATGGAGATCAACCAATAAAGCCGTTACCATGCACCAGTCATCTCATGTGATATGCCAACTGTTTGAATATGACAAAGAGGTAGATGAGACCATGATGTTGGTACCAGTGCATGCCATGAGATGAGGTGTTCAAGGGATCGCAACCTGTCGGAACCATAGTGCCGGTAATGAAGTCAAAGCAACGTACCTTGTAGTGCGGACTGGCAGTGCGACCATCCACGCGATGCTGTGTATCAAGCCAGTGCCACAATGTAACCGAAGCGGTGAGCCATCCTGCCACAGTTCGGCGACCTGTTCGGCGTTCTGGCGTACCGTTACATCTTGTCGCAGACATCGATTACGACGCCATTCGGGTTCTCGTGCGCATGCGATACGCGTTTGTCCTCCAGACTTGGTATCTTTGTGTGTATGTCTCAAGGGCTTATGACATGTAGAAACCGTCCCCCAGGACTACTCTCCATATTCCTCTGGCACTCCTCGCTTGAGCACACAAGATGCGTTACACCGAGAGAGCGGGAGGCGGAGGACCGATGTGGGAATGTCTCAATATCGCTTGGTTTCAATAAGTCAACAAAACAGTCGGATTCCGTTAGGGTCAGAAGATGCGCCCGGAGCAGTAGTAGCAAGTCTCGCTTGTGCTCCGGTGGATGCCGGGGCATTACCGACCCAGTGGTCCTTTGTTCCTATGGGATACTCGATGCTTGTGATGATCTTGGTCTTTTGGCAGGCTTCTTCAGTACGACGAAGGCTATAACGTGCTGCGGTCAGAATGTAAAGGCATTGCTGACGTTGCTCTTCAGTACGTGTCGTCATCTTTCCGAACTCTTACGTTGCTTTTACTCGCATTCTATAGGAAAATCGTGTAGTCACTTGCGACCACGTGCGGTGCTGGGGGTGTCGCTGTACTTGAAGGAGTGATGGATTGGTTTTCTCTTTCCGTACAGCCGGGCGAAGGCGCTGCACATGTCTGATAACGGTGTGGGGTAATGCCCGTCAGCAGCCAGGTCCCAGCGCAACGCTTCCTCGTATGCCCAGCGGGCTTCACGGCATTCATTCAGCGCGGGATCCTCTGGCCCTGCGTAAGATATAGGCAGGGTTTGTACCGGACGTTTCAGTCGCTTCTCGAAGACACTGAAGATCCAGGGATGGTGGGAGCGGCGCACGCCGTGGCTGTTAGCGGCATGTTGTGAGTGGTGTGTGGCTTGGTTGGACAAAGAACAGACCGCATGTTCGGAGTCCGATGCCTGCTAAGCGCCCGCAGTCTGCTGCTGTAAGGACGGTGAGACTCGTCATGCGCCATTGGACTGGTCTTGCGCTAAGGCCAGACGTGTAGAGAGATTGAGCAAACGAAAGGACTCCATGGCAATCTCCACTCACGCCATGTTAGATGATGGACGAAGGCATGCCGACAGCTCCGGGCCATCGCACGAGAGCATAACAGATGATCGGGACCGCCAAGGGCATGCAACCAACCGTGCTTTGATGAGGGAAAAGTCAAAGGGCAAAGTTAATCTTCCGATGCATTGCTCCGGCCTTGGAGTATGGAGTGTCAGTCTGGCACTACCGCATTAACCTTGGAAGCTAGCCGAGCGCGGCCGTGCGTCACGGTCACTTCTGGCCCCCCATTACGCCATGTAGCACAACAGCAGACAGTCGGGCGGGAGACGCTACTCGCCCATGGACTCTTATGGTGCTTCATCAGCTGCTGCCAGCCTAGCAGCTATGTCCAGCCCGCCGTCCCTCATTCCTCGTGTGCCTCCATATTCCTTTTGCTGCCTCGCGACCCCAGGCTGAATCACCACCCCGTTTCATTTCGACTTGCTTTTTACTCCTCGGTCTGGAACAAGTCGCCTTCAAATATTCGCCAGTCTGAATTTCACACCACACAAACCCCGACCATGGACCGCCCAGCACTCACATCACGGGAGCACCTGGAGCTTTTGCGAAGCTCTGCGTTTGAATCCGAACATGCCTGGCTCTACGACACTTCCTATCTGCAACATGAGGCAGCAGCGATGGCGTTGGAGCAAGAGATTGAGCAATCGCATGCCAGTATATCGCCAGACGACAACTCAGACGAGCAAGTGCGCATCATCAAGACGCAGATCAATATCCACAGGGAGAGGCAGCGGGCGCTAAGGCCGCATCTTGAAAGCGGGAGCGACCAGATCGACGAAGACGGGAACGAGTGCGTCTTTGTACCAGCACCGAACCAATGGGGCGCGAATGGGGACCTGGACGAGGAGAGCGAGAGTCTGTCTGCAGTGAGTAGCAATTTCCGTTCACTGTTGGGTTGTGATTGACATGCCTCAGATCCACAACCTCCTCACATGGCAAACTTCATACTCGCCCGTCTCACATGCCCCGCGTGACGAACTTCCCTCTCCTAATACACCGTACCACTCGCTGCTCGACCCTCACCAGCCCACGACCACGTACAATCTTCACCGCACGCGAGAATGGACGGGATCTTCAGGCTTCAGGAAATTCATCTACAGCGCACGCGACTATTCGGATAAATACGCTCTATACATGCTTGAAGCCACCCACCGCGACGACAGCCAAGTCAACGCTGCAGACTTCTTCCGTGTCGCCGAGTACCCACAACCATGCATAAACATCCTTCTCTCCGGCATTGACAAGAAGCGCGCCATGACCAAAGACGCAGCCTACAAGTCGCGGGGCATACATCTGCGCGGGCCATTCTCACAACCGATCAAGGAATACCCAGACAGGCAACAGAAGATACCATGGTCACCGCGACGATTTAAATATGGTGGACGCCGCTTCGTGTGGAAGCAGGGAGATCCGAACGACGATGCCATGCCGGAGACTTTGTACGAATATCAGCAAGACTGGGTAAAGCCAGGAAGCAGGACGGGCAAGCGATGCGACGATGCAAAGCTGATCAAACTTGTCTGGGGAGAAAAGAGGAGGAAGGGTAAAGTGGACAGTTACACGATCCATTTCAAGGGCGGCATGGATCAAGTCTTTAGGGAGATCTTGCTGGCCAGTCAGATGGCCAGGCAGGTATGTCTCTTCACCGCGATGGACTGAAGTCGCCATCTTACGTCGGCCAAGGTTGAAATTGTATTTGTATATAACCACACAGCGCGAGGCGTTTAAAGGGGCCGTGGAACACGGGACGGATACCATGGAACAGCATTTTGCAGTCAGTTCCCATCGGAACTTTCTGCTATTACAGTTTACAAGATCTTGGGAGTGGGCAGCAGGCTTCTCTACTACCTTGGACATAATTTAGGCCCAAGGGCAACACTAATCAAACTCAAATACTAGTCCTTCCATAGGGCAGCAACGCAGCCTTCCACCAGCTTCTCATTTGGCAACTACTCACCCAGAACGAATTGCGAAAAATGAGACAAATTGCGTGACCGTCTGCATGCAATTCATCTGACTCATCAGAATGCCCACGTTGAAGTGAAGAGAGGGAACCACCGCAGGACCGTTACATTGTGTAAGCTGCATATGCATGCTACGCTGTAGATTAGATGATAGCCTTGCTAACATACGCCCCTTACGGTATGTTGGCGCTGGTCGCATTGGCGAACCCTGCGACAATTGCATTGGGTACTTTTTGGGAATACAAAATTATGCACCATCGGCTGTGGCTGAAGTTGGTCGCAGGTGGTAATGAGCATGTTGTTTTTTGTGGCGTGGCTCTACGCGCGAAATTCAATGCACATGACCAACTTGAACACTACCATGATAGGCAGGTTCGGATCTCTCGGAGGAATGCGATTCAGGAAGGCGTGCTCATCATGCTCAGGTGGAACAACGCTCCTCCCTATCATGTCGCCTGAGCCAGCATGTAAATGCAGGCGCTGTACACCGGTGTAGGTAAATATCACGATGACTTCATCGCCAGGCATTCGTGCATGCTCTCCAAACCCATCATCGATCGCATCCTCCCACGCACTCATATCGCATTGTTGGTCACAGCGTACCCACCTGTGATATTCGTTACTGATATCTTTCCTGGATCAAGGGCATCAATTCGACGTTGCCCAGGTGAAAGCTGCCAAACCCAAAATCTTACCTGCGTCTTCGGCTGACGCCCACCGCTTCGCAACAGAACCGACAACCTGTTAGCACACCCTGGTGCATACGCCACTTTGCGGGTATATCAAATCACAACTCGGAGCGTGCGATACTGCATACAACCCGACCGATCAGCACGCAACAGGGCCCACGTACATCGCTTACAGCTTACAGCGAGGGCCAGCAACACCAACATACCCGCTTCACCGTCTCGGAAGGACCCTCGCGGAGGAAGACCCACCAGTCATGTTTGCAGATCGCAACATGGAGCTGCGAATGTCAACATACCTCTTCTGCTGCGCGTTGATCTCGCCCCCTCCTCCCTCAGACCTCCTATCAAATTACTTCACCAAGTCGCCCAAGATCACAGAGCACGGCCCTGAGTGGTCACGCTCGCGGCTGCCTTTCCTAGCCAAGACATTCTCTGGCAAAGATGGCTGCGAGGAGTACTTCAAGCTGATGACTGATGTGCTGGACATGGCCTTGCCGAATGATGCGTTCCCGCGAGACAGCGGGTTCATTGTGGATGCAGATGCTGGGATGGTGAGTGTTGTTGGCAAAGGAAGGTTTACGAGTAAGAAGACGGGCAAGGGATGGGATGAGCAGTTCATCTATCGGTTCAGTGGGTTTAATCATGAGGGGAAGATAGGGCATTGGGAGATTTGGGCGGATCCTTTGAGTGCTTGGGAGGCTGTTGGGGAGTGAGCCTTCTCATGTCATCGTTGGAACTCGTGGATATCGAAAGACTGATTGGGGGTTCGAAAGCTAGGTAAATACCTTCAGCGACAAGCTTAGAATGCTAAAGATTCGAAGTTTACAGCAAATGTATGGATGCGGGTGGAGCTAGCGAGTGAAAGCCGTTAGCGTCTCGCTTGACTGATGTGGGTCCCTGGCGGCGGCTTCTGCAGCTTCGTCTGAGCCCTCAACTTTTCTTCATCCGCTCTTACACGCCGCCAAACCAGCTCTACGACACCATGATGCAAGCTGCGCAGAGCCCTACGGAGCAGTGGCGCGCATCAATAGTAGTTCGCTGATTGTCCTAACTAAACTACAGCCGCTGCTCGCTGTGCTTCATTTCTCATGGTACGTTCATTGTCTCCTCCTCTCTACAGCACCCGCATCCTCGCGACGCGCGCGCACAGCTCAAAAGATGATATGTACATCGACCATTAAACACTTTAGGAAGAGCCGGAAAAGGTATGGCTAGCATCGACAAATGCTACGCCGTCGCTGCTTATAACTTGGTCTCTGAAGAGCATCATCATTTTCACGTTTTGGAAACTGAGTTTCGAACTGTCGCTGACGATGCAAAGATTAGGTGCCTGCTATTTGCGATATTCTAAGCGACCGCTACACACAACCCGTGACGTACACGACGCGCGATGTCGATTCGGTGGTATAGATATGTTATGTCGCGCGAGCAGATGTGATGACAAGGGCACAATGCGATATCTTGCGAGATGCGCATGGCATATTATGTATTGACGCTACAGATGCTGCGTCTGCAGAGTACTGCTTGCGCTATCGCTGTCGAACAAGGCCGCGGCATCCAACTCTAGTATGGAGACGGACGGCCTCGCCTTTTCGTACAAGCCCACAGTGTCTGGCAACCCTAGGAAGGGGTCGGCAAGGTTGCCGCAGCCGGTAGGCCACGAGATCGATTGATCGAACGCATAGCTGTCGCTCCAAGACTGGATAAAGTTGGTCATGTCAAAGTCGAGATCGGGATTGATCATAGAGGATTGCCCTTCGAGTACGGCGAGATCATCCGTGTTGAGGGCACTCGCGTCTGTACCCAAGTCGACTAGATCATTGAAATCGAACGTATCCCAATCCCAAGACTGAATACTTCCATCTGCTACTGTCGCCGATGTCGATAGCGTGCTGGGGCTGTTGCGCTCGTTTGCCTTTCTCTTTGCGTACTCCTTCGGCGTCAACCCCGTCTTGTCCTTGAAGATCTTGTGGAAGTACCGCGGCGTGAGATTGACCTTCTTGGCTAGGTCTTGCAGTCTCAATGCGCTGGCGTCCTCGTTCTTTAAGGCTTCATCAATCAATACACATGCTTTCTCCACCGCTCGCTCTTGTGGATCTTCGAGTACAGTGTTGGGCTTGCATCTCTTGCAGGCCCTGAACCCAGCTGCCTCTGCTTCTAGCGGTGTCGCATAAAATCCAACATTTGCTCTCCTCGCTAGTCGTCCAGGGCACGTTGGCCGACAGTAGATTCGGGTAGATTTGACGGAGTAAATGAAGTGCCCATTCGCGTCTGCGTCTCGTGTCGAAAGGGCTCGCCACCGTGCAGCATCAGTCGCATATGCCATGGTATAGGATTCGTACAAAAAGACTACGTAATTAGCATGATTTCAAGTCTCGCAGCGATGGTGCGCAAAGCATACCTTCTATGTTGTAAACCTAGAGATGTTTCTAGACAGCAGGAAAGTGCGAAGCTCAACAACGCGACTGTACAGCAGGCTCAAATTCGTGCTGCGCGAAACTCAGATGGTAAAAGCACAGTCAGTCAGATACGGAGAGCAACAGTAATCGCGGCAACGGGCCCTCTTAAGAGCTCTGGAAGTCTTCCCGCATCCCAAGGCTATCTACGCTGTGATTGGATACTTTGAGAGCCAGCTCGAGAGCACGCGATGACGCACGCTAAACTCATCTCTATTAACACCTAAACATCGCGTATAAACACACGTTTCACGCAGCATTCCTTACATATCAAGGATCAATGCATACGAGATGAGTGCGCACGCGAAGCATTCGGCGCGTCGCGTCGGGCTCTTTCCACGTCGGACGTGACTTGGGTGGAAGAGGTAGGCACGATGGAGGCACCGACTACCAAACCATGAGTCTCACTTGGGCTCAATGTTCTGCCACCGATGGGACCTCCGCAAGTTCATTCTCGCTCCTACCAGCATGGAGGAAGGCCTCGACAGTGTTGCGGTACCCAGCATCGCGGCTCTCCCACCAACGACAACGCGACAGATCGGTTCCGGACAGGTCCTCGTTGATCCCAGTTCCGTCGTCAAGGAGCTCCTAGACAACGCTCTAGATGCACGAGCGAAGAGCATATTTGTGGATATCACTGCTAACACGGTCGACTCTATCCAAGTCAAAGATGATGGCCATGGTATACCAGCTGAAGATCGCCCTCTTGTATGTCGCCGCTACTGCACCAGCAAGATTAGAGACTTTCACGATCTGAGAGAAGTCGGAGGGAAATGGCTGGGCTTTCGTGGTGAGGCACTATCAAGCATGGCCGACATGAGTGGCTCGCTTTCTGTCACTACTCGAGTAGAAGGAGAGCCAGTTGCTGTCAAGCTGAAGTATGATCGGAGCGGCGAGCTTGCTTCGTAAGACATCACTAGTAATCTCACGGATAGCTATCACGGACTAATGTGTGCAGCACTGAACACGACTCCCATCCAGTTGGCACGACGGTCAAGGTTACCAAGTTCTTTGACTTCATACCCGTCCGAAAGGAGACAGCGATCAAGAACTCAGCGAAAATGCTTGTGAAGATCCGGCGGCTGATGCAAGCCTATGCACTTGCCAGGCCTACTATACGCTTCAGGCTTCGCGTACTGAAAGCGAAGAACAGCAATGGTGACTTTGTCTACGCGCCGAAAGCCGACGCCAACATTGAAGATGCAGTCCTGAAAGTCATCGGTAAGGATTGCGCTCTACAGTGTGATTGGACTGCATTGGAGGCCAATGGCTTCGAGGTTCATGCTTTCCTGCCCAAGCCAGGTGCAAGCGGACCGAAGATAGCCCATCAAGGGGCGTTCGTCTCGATCGATGCAAGGCCTGTGTCGAACAGTCGTGGTACTATCAAGCGGATCATCACAATTTACAAAGACCGACTCCGCGAATCAACGCTTTCACTAGCTGGCGTCAAGGATCCGTTCTTCTGCATGAACATCATTTGTCCGCCTGACAGTTACGACCCCAACATCGAGCCAGCCAAAGACGACGTCATGTTCGATAACAGCGAAGTGGTTGTTGCCGTTGTGGATAAGCTGCTCAAAGCTTACTATCCTGAGGCTATCCAGGATATTCCAGATATTCAGGATGCCGAGATGCCGACGTCTGCACAACAGCAGTATGAGCCCCAATTTGAGGAGCTACCGAGTCGCATCGAAAGCCCCATCACGATACATGAGGATGAGCCTCCAAACCGGAATGAGCAACCCACGACTGACCCGGCTCAGGCGCTGCCACGCTGGAGGTCAAGCATGTATGGTATTGACGAGGACGACCTAGAGTTTCTACAAGAAAACCCAGCACCTGTGGTCGAAGAGGAAGATGAGAAGGGTCTACGCGCAGTGGAAGTGTCTAATCCATGGACCATTGCTCGAATGAACACTACGATCAAGCCCAAACAAGCTGCGAGCAAGGAACAGCTGCTGAGCCCGGCCAAAAGCCAGAGAGGGAGCGACGCACATCTCCCCTCTCCCAGTCCAGCTGTTACTCCACGTCGTCCATTGTCAGCTGCGCCCCTGACGCCTCAGACCTTGTCAAGGACGAACATGAGGTCTCCTTTGGATGCTGAACTAGAACGTAGTATCCAATATATATCGCACCCCAATTCAGAAGCTGGTGCTCTCGACGACCAGATACAAGAGCGGGACACAGACAACCGAGGTCGTCACAAGCGTATCGGGCCTCTGCCCCAGACCGGCATGTCAAGCCATTTCGCACGATCTGACATCAATTCCATCAAGTCAGGAACCACTGATTACAGCCACACCGGAACAAGCTCACAGCTGTTGACCTCTCCAGTAACGTCAGCTCCTCGTAGCCGACGCACTCAACCGGCCCATGTAAATACACCATTTGCACCACCAAAGCAAAGGTCGAATGCTATGGGGCTTGGAGAGTATGTACTTGGCACGCAAGCTCTCGAACCAGCTCGTCGACAGAAGCATGCGAAGAAGATTGGAGGAGCGCCATTCCCGAACAATGTCTCATCTTCTCCAAGCAGACCCGTGTTGGACCCAGCTGACCGGCCAGTCGCTAGACAACTTCATTCAAACGATAACACTGATATCCGTAACTTCTTTGGACGCGACAGAGATCAGGGCATAGCTGATCCGCTGGTTGATGGTGTTTCTCGAGCTTCCTCGGTGGAACCGCAGTCACGCTCAAAGCGCATCAGAGACTCTTCACTGCTCGACGATGATGTTCAGATAGACACTGATCCGCGAAGAGTGAATAATCGATTTCAAGCATTTGCTGAAAAAGAAGACCATCGCTTTAGTCCTCAGATATCTACCCGAATCTCAAAGCCTCCAGAGACACACCGTCCCGACCAAAGCGCCAAAGAGATGGAAGCATACTTCAAAACGCAAGAACAGCAACACTCCAGCTCCCCGTCCCGCCCCCCAAAAGCATCTCAAAGGCAAGAGCCTCGCATCGCGCCGCCCCACGAAACAGCGAAGACACGTCGACCCAGACGCCGCACAACAGACGCGCTCGAGCGCACCAAGTCGTCCAAACTTCCATTGGAGCGCACACCCGATGGTTTCCAGATTCAAGACCTGGTATTCCACCTCCCAACCAACATCCACACCATCGTTCAAAGCTCTCGTAAACTGGATATGCAGCGCAACAGTCCAGAGTGGGGTTACGCGTCAGAAACCGCGTATGACGTGTTCGGCGAGCCGGTGTTTGAAAAGAAGATCATGGAGTGGGTGATTAGTTTGGATGCACTGTTGTGTAAGCGGTATGACAGGATCGATGGTCCAGATGCGCGGTGTGAGATGCACGAGGGGATTCAGCGGGCGCTTGATGCGAGGAAAGAGACGGATGATGTCACGCAGAGGGAGGAGGATGCAAGTAAAGACGTACGGCGTGCTGCAGGCGAGATATTTGAACGTGATGTCTCGATGGGTTTCGGTGATGCTTCTGGCGTCGTGGTTCAGCAGGCTGTCATCGAGGAAGAGAAGAAGGTGCATGATGACGGCGAGTTCGATTTCGATATGGAGGAGTTTGTTGATCTGACGGGAGGGGATGAGATGCAGAGTACGGGGACAGCGGGAGAGGCGGATGTGAGTGGAATCAAGGGTGAATTTGACGATATCGAGGATGAGATGTTGATGGATTTATAGAGCATGTGGAAGAGAGCGACGTGATGGACGGATATCAATCGGCCTCAGCTATAGCTTTGCCGTGTTGTAACATAGCTCACTCAGTGGGTATCAGCTCATGTGAAGCGTGTCCCCAGCAACATGCTATCTTGCCCCTTTTACATCTACAGTGAATCCTCATACCTCCCTAAAAGCAACCTCTTCAGGCAACCTAAAACTGGTACAAAACATCCTCTTCTTGGGCGCCACATCTCTCACATCATACACGTTCACATCCTCCATATCGGGTGTGATGACTGTACCCAATTGCCTGCTAACCTCCTCGCAAATGCCCTTGATCTCCTCGACGTTATCATCGCTCTTGGTCGAAAAGCAGTGTACATGGATCATGGGAAGCTTCTGCGACGTGTGTGGCGCGAGGAGTTTCTTGATCTCAGAGACTGGGTATCCGGGGACGTTGGCGTAGAGGCCAATGAAAGATGGGAGGAAGGTAATGGCAGAGGCGGGGAGGTTCATGACGTAGTGCGAAAAGAAGCGTGGTTGGACGAGCGTCTTGAGGGGTTCGGGCTGTTTCTTCTCTTCTGGTTTGCTGCGCGAGGATTTGGTTTTGGGATAGATGGATACGGAGTGCTCGTCGCTCGTCAATAGATCCGCAGAGGCTTGACGGATAAAGGCTCCGCCGTCAGTGTTGAAGGATCGCACAAAGTCGCCTACTTTGTTGATCTTGATGTTGCCGACGAGCGAGTTGTAGGATTCGGGGTTGAGGTCGTTGGCCCAGACGAAGCACTTCTTCTTGCCCGCGGGTACGGCAAAGGGTCCTACGCCGGCCATGACGTCGCATATTGCCTCGCCTTCGCGGAACATGTTGCAGAGGCGTTCGTGCTCCGTGTGCAGACGCGTGTTCCAGTATACTTTTGCAAAGTCGAATTTGAAGGTGCAGCCCTGCTCGCGCAGCTCGACATTCATGTCGTCTGGGCCGTGGAGCACTTCGTACTGGAAGGTGCGGAATGCGTTCTCGGTGCCTACATTGTCGAGCTTGTTGATGACCGTCTTGACCATGGGGTTCTTGTCTGCGAGGACGGTTGCGATGAGGTGCTTGTAGGGCCAGTACCGCTCGCGTAGGTTCAGGTGGGCGACATGGCCGGCGAGGGCGAAGCCCTGGGGTATCTCATCGTCGTGGACGGACTCGGGTGGGGGGATGGTTGCGCTCGTGATCTCGGAGTAGGTGAAGTAGTCGTAGTTGAGCTGCAGCTGGTAGGGAATGACGCCTAGGGTGCCGTCTTGCTCGAGATCGCGCAGCTTAGGGGACCAGGTCGTCCGATCTGCCTGGTTTCAGACTCAGTACTCCCATGTACTACCGCCGTGGGGTGACTCACCGGAGTGGACGACTTCTGGTCGCAGGAGCAGGCATTTGCTGCCTCTCGACGCTTGCTCTGAATCGGGATCGACTCTTATCGGATCTATGCGATTGCTTGGCAGCGTGTCCTTGCTGGCGGTGAGTTCCTTGCGGCAGCGCGATATGTCCTTAGGGTTGAAGATGCGGGCGGCCGAGGTGGGGATGGTCTTTTGGAAGAAGCTGCGATCCAGCACCTTCATGGCGCGGTTCACGGGAGGCGCGAACATGTCGTTGGTCGCTTCTGTAGCCGACATTGAATCGTGGGCGCGTGCAGAATGGGTGTCGCGTGGGAGTGTCGCGGCTGGGGAATTATTTTTTGGTGAGGGATGACGCAGGCAGCGTTAGGATGACCCCAGCATGGCACATGTCAGGTACCGGCCGCTTTGGGCGCGACCCTCGAGACGTGAGAGACATACAGAGTGGTAATCAACTTCTATCCGTCTCGACTATGTCCAGCGTGTCAGTGTCTTGAACGGCGTCAGGGTCCGCTGCACAGGTGACGACAGGCCAGTCCAAGCGCAGTGGTCGGCTGCAGGGGTCGGGACACCAGGATCGCGTACCTAATCTTGCACCGGCGTGGTCAATCAACAAAACAACTTCGCCATAGCACCGCCTCCTGAGCCGTGGATGACCGCGACCGCGCCCTCGCCCTCGCCCGTCCACCGCCGTCGCCGCCCATGAAGTCTCCCGGATCCCGCCTCTGACCGCTGCATAGACCGAGCGGCCCGTTGCCATCTCCTTTGTCCGCATACCCCGGATTCCGACCACGAACAAAGTTACCACGCCCACCATGGCGTCTGGCGGAGGAAACATCAAGGTCGTGGTGCGATGCAGGCCCTTCAACGGCCGCGGTAGGCAGCCCCCCTTACTTTACTATAACGTCGCAACTAACAACGCGCAGAGAAGGCGCGCAATGCACAGTGCATCGTGCAGATGAAGGGCGACCAGACCATCCTCTCCCCTCCCCAACATGCCGATATCAAGGGGAAAGCCGCCAAAGCCGCCTCCGAGGGCACCAAGACATTCGCCTTCGACAGATCGTACTGGTCTTTCGACCGCGACGCTCCCAACTATGCCGGCCAGGACAACCTCCACGAGGATCTTGGCAAGCCGCTGCTCGACAATGCCTTCCAGGGCTACAACAACTGTATCTTCGCCTACGGCCAGACGGGTTCGGGAAAGTCGTACTCTATGATGGGCTATGGCGCTGAGTACGGAATCATCCCCAAGATTTGCCAGGACATGTTCGAGAGGATCAAGGGGTTACAAGCGGACAAGAACTCGTCCTGCACCGTCGAAGTGTCCTACCTGGAAATCTACAACGAGCGCGTACGCGACCTGCTGAACCCCTCGAATAAAGGGAACCTGCGAGTTCGCGAGCATCCGTCCACCGGTCCCTATGTCGAAGATCTCGCCAAGTTGGTCGTCCAGTCCTTTCCCGAAATCGAGAACCTCATGGACGAGGGAAACAAGGCCCGTACCGTAGCTGCCACCAACATGAACGAGACGTCCTCGCGATCGCACGCCGTCTTCACCCTTACCCTTACCCAGAAGCGCCACGATGTCGAGACAAGCATGAGCGGAGAGAGGGTCGCCAAAATCAGTTTAGTCGATTTGGCCGGATCAGAACGAGCTCAGTCGACGGGTGCGACTGGCGCGAGATTGAAAGAGGGTGCCGAGATCAACAGGTCTCTGTCTACACTGGGTCGCGTCATTGCAGCGCTTGCAGACCAGTCGTCAGGAGGCAAGAAGAAGGGTACCCAAGTGCCATACCGAGACTCCATCTTGACATGGCTCTTGAAAGACTCTTTGGGAGGAAACAGTATGACAGCCATGATTGCTGCCATTTCTCCCGCCGACATCAACTTCGAGGAGACCCTCTCGACCCTCCGCTACGCCGACTCCGCGAAACGCATCAAGAACCATGCCGTCGTAAACGAAGACCCGAACGCGCGCATGATCCGAGAGCTCAAGGAAGAACTGTCAAAACTGCGGACTCAGCTGGGTGGAGGAGGCGGTGGAGTTGCCGGAGCGAATGGCATCATAGAAGAACAGTACGCACCGGATACACCGTTGGAGAAGCAGATCGTTTCTATCACCCAAGCAGACGGCTCAATCAAGAAGGTATCCAAGGCCGAGATTGCCGAGCAGCTTGATCAATCAGAGAAACTCTACACCGAGCTGAACCAAACCTGGGAAGAGAAGTTGCAGAAGACGGAAGAGATTCACAAGGAACGAGAAGCCGCGCTGGAAGAGCTTGGTATCAGCATCGAAAAAGGTTTCGTTGGGTTGTCAACACCAAAGAACATGCCTCATTTGGTCAACTTGAGTGATGATCCACTCTTGACTGAATGTCTCGTCTACAACCTAAAACCGGGCACGACGACCGTTGGCAATTCTGATGTTGAAGGCCAAACCGCACAAATACGTCTGAATGGCTCGCAGATCCTTGCCGAACACTGTCACTTCGAAAACGTGGACGGCAAGGTGACGGTGATACCCCAGGAAACCGCTAGCGTCATGGTCAATGGTGTACGCATCGACAAGCCAAGATTACTCAAGAGCGGCCACCGCATCATCCTTGGCGACTTCCACATCTTCCGTTTCAACAATCCGCAAGAGGCAAGAGCTGAGCGTGCTGAAGTAGGTACAAGCCTACTTCGACAGACGGTTACCGCCAGCCAGCTCAACTCTCCCTCGCCTGCACCAAGACCCGGTCACGACAGATCGTACAGCGCCATCAGTATCGCAAACTCTGATTTCGACCCCGATAGTCCGAGGGCAGGATCGCCTGCATTTTGGCAACGCGGTCGTGAATCCGAGTTCTCCTACGCCCGTAGAGAAGCTCTTACGGCGTGGCTGGGACCAGACAAACGCATCGAAAATCTCCCAGACGAAGACTTCGAGGCACTGTTTGAAGATCTCAGCAGGTTGCGCGAAACCCGCAAAGCACGTCCCGAGAGTCGCATTTTCAGCGACGAGGACACAGAGTCCATGTCCTCATACCCTGTACGAGAGAAGTATGCTTCTGGAGGGACACTAGACAACTTCTCGCTCGATACCATGTTAACGATGCCATCCACGCCAAGGCAAGACGGCAGCGAAAAGATGGAGGAAATACGAGAAGACATGGAAGAGAAGATGGACAAGCGGAAGGAGGACTACAGTGCAAAGCTGAAAGCTGACGCAGAAGCTAAAGTCGAGCTGGAAGAGCTGCGAGCTGCGAAGGAAGAAATGCAGAAGCAGCTGCAACAGCAGAAAGAGGCTTTTGCACGTCAAATGAAAGAGCTTGGCCACGAGTGGGTACCTGAACCTGAAAGCAGCGGAACGCCGGAAGCCGAAGCCGAGGCCGAAGCCGAAGCAAAGGATGCACACAACGAGCAGAACGAGCAGCAACTGGAGTTGATCCGGACTGTTTTCAAACAGTGGCGGCGAAGAAAGTACGTCACCATGGCGGAGACACTTTTGCAGAACGCCGCTGTTCTGAAGGAGGCTCAAGTTATGAGTCAACAGATGGACAAGCGCGTCGTCTTCCAATTCTGCATTGTCGATATCGGACATACTGTCCCGTCATCTTACGACTTGGTGAACATGGGCATTCCAGGTGAAGACGATGAATATCTCGACAGCCAGTCCAAGCCTTGCGTTGGTGTTCGCGTCATCGACTTCAAGAACGAAGTGGTGCACCTATGGTCATTACAGAAGCTACGCGATCGCGTACGACGGATGCATCAAATGCATCAGTATATGAACCGACCAGAATACTTCCAGCATTTCAACCCGGAGTCACCGTTCTCAGAACCTTGCATGCCCGAGTTCTCACGCATCGGCGATGTGGACGTTCCGCTAGCTGCTGTGTTCGAATCAAGAGTACGAGACTTCAGTCTGGACGTCATCTCTCCTTACACAGCAAACCCCATTGGTATTATCCGACTATCGCTAGAGCCTTCGTCTGCAGAAGCACCTTCGACTACGCTCAAGTTCAATGTCGGTATGCATGAGCTTGTTGGGTTTCCGGAACGAGAGGGCACCCAAGTCCACGCTGTGCTCTTTGTACCTGGTATCTCGGACGAGAGTGGAGCCACGACCACGACCTGGATCACCGATTTCAACGAAGGTCCTATTCGTTTTGAGAGTGTGCACAGCATGAGTCTTCCCTACCCGAGCCCGCGCGATACCTTCCTTCGAATCTCCATCTTCGCCAAGGTTACAGACATTCACCTCGATAAATTGCTGAGCTGGGATGACATGCGCGACTCTGCGGAAAAGCCCAAGCAGAAGCGCCGTCATGCACGACTTCCAGAGTCAGAGTTTTACACAGAAGATACACATGACATCTTCTCCCGCATCCAGATTCATGAGATTACTGACGATGGGACATACCAACCCGTCGAGGTAACACAGAGCAACGTCATGGACGCTGGGGTATACCAACTCCACCAGGGTCTAGCGCGCCGCATCGTTGTTAACCTCACCCATACTTCTGGAGACACAATACAATGGGAGGATGTCAAGTCGCTGCGCATGGGTCACATCCGATTGGTCGATGCAGCTGGTAACAGTCCTAACTACGGCTCACCCGTAAAAGAAGTGCCTGTCGATCTGACATCCCCACCTGTCATCAGGAAGAACGCCGATGGCACCACAAATGTCAAATTTGTAGGACGATGGGACAGTACGGCTCACGCGTCTCAAATTCTCGATCGGGCGACAAAGGACAACTTCCGCGTGAAAGTCACGCTACTGTTCGACGTCACATCTTCCAAGCTTATCGAACCGATGTCGTTCTCTTTCGACCTCTTCGTACAAATCCGGGGTCGTTCTTACATGCGCCAGACCTCTCTCTTCTCGTTAGCGAACATCTGGAATACGGTGAAGGTCGTTCACTCGACAGTAGGAATCTTCAACGTTGCTATTCGCCCCACTTCCGTCAAGCGTGCGACAGATCTTTGGCGAATGAACACGAAAGATGACTACGTGAAGGGTGAAGAGCAGCTCGCGGGCTGGACGCCGCGTGGTGTTTCGCTGGTACGCGACTTCATCCACATAGAAAAGCGCCGCGCTCGAATCGCAGAGATAGAAACAGCGCGTTCTGTTTTGTCGTCCAAGGCATTGAGCATACCTGCTTCCGCACTTGCGTCCTCAAAGGATAAGCCCTTGGAAGAGGCTCAGATAGCACTTCTCCAACGCATGGTCTCGCTCTGGAAGACCAAGAAAGCGCCTGCAGAAATCATCCTCAACCCCACGAATCTTGAGCCTCCCACCAACGGCGCCGCCTTTGCGGCACGCTCTCCTTCTCCATCGCCAAACCCAACCCCAAGTTTGACAGCTACCGTCCGCTTCATCAGCAAGAACCCTAACTTGATGAAAGCGTCCTACCTCCTCACTCCAGATCCGACAAACACGCGCTGGATACGGCGATACGTCGAACTACGAAAGCCATACCTCCACATCTACTCATCAGACGGCGACGAGATCAACGCCATCAATGTCAGCACAGCGCGTATCGACCATTCGCCGCAAATCGCGAAACTACTTGGAGGCGGACAGCAAAGCAACGGCCAAGGAAATGCCGGCGCGCACAAGGACGTTGTCTTTGCCGTCTTCGCGAGAAGCAACACGTACATCTTCCGAGCGCGAAGCGAGAGGGAGAAGATCGAATGGATATTGCGATTAGATCAAAGCTACTTCAGCAGCGAAGGAAGCGAGGCGTCGACGTGAGGACGCGTAATGAGTATTTGGCTGGAAAAGTTACATGTAGACATTCGGCGCCATGTGGAAAGGGTTTTAGTTCTTGTACCGAGGTTGTAGAACAGTGGAAGACGGTCGGTTGAGGTGTTGTTGCTGTCCCCGTCGTCAGGCTTTGGCGTTATAGTCGGGCTTTTGTATAGCTTTTCTTGGGATACCCAGAGTATAGTTGATACTCGTTTTGCGCGATAATTTAGCGTAGAGATTCTGTCTATTCAGCTTCATTGCTAGACTATAGCTTCGTTCTGACCCTGATGGCCTTCATCTTCGCAGTAATTGCACCTCGCTGCACTGCGCGCAGCTCACCCCGCAAGCACTAGCCTGTTTCCAGAACCCCTCACACGCGATTGCCCGAGGCTAACCTGGATCGACGCAGCTTACTCGCACACGACCACGACGCCAATGTATACCTTCAGTAGCACCATGGGTTTTACGTATCTACTTGTCTGTGACGCGATAGCTGAAATCGAAGGAATCAGGCAAAGCACACTCCACGATGGTCAACACAAAGAAAGAGAAGACACAACATGATCTGGACGACCAAAAGCTTGGTCTGTACCTGCAGCAAGAGATACCCAATTTGAAGACGCCCGTGCTATCGACAAAGATCGGATACGGACAAAGCAATCCGACTTACTACGTCGATGACGCCGCTGGTACACGCTACATACTCCGAAAGAAACCCAGCGGCACCATCATCTCACCTGTAGCACACCAAGTCGATCGAGAGTACAGAGTGTTGAAAGCACTGGGGTCTGTTGAAGGTTTCCCAGTTCCAAGAGTATACTGTCTATGTATGGATGCATCGATCATCGGAACAGCATTTTACGTACGTCCCAGCTACCCTCCAGACAAACGCTTCCAATCTAACATACCTACCTCTCCACTAGGTCATGGAGTATATCCAAGGCCGTATAATCACCGACCCCAACCTCTCTACCCTGCCCCTCTCCGACCGTCGCGCAGCATGGGAATCCGTCATCTCAACCCTAGCCTGGCTCCACTCCATCGACCCAGGGTAAAGTAGCCGCCACGAATAGCTCTTAAAATATCTTGCTAACTTATTACTAGTATGCAGCTCTCTTGCTTTGCTTTGCCAAAGTCTTGCTAAGACATCTTATTATTCGTGCTAACAGCTTGACAGACGCCATCGGCCTCTCCACCTTCGGCAAGAAAACCAACTTCTACGCCCGCCACTGCAACACCTTCTCCCTTATCGAAGCCCAACAAGCCCAAGTCCGCGACACAACCACCGGCCAGCAACTCGGTCGCGCGCACCCGCATTTCGACGAAATCGTATCCTACATACGGAGTCACCTGCCCCAGGAACGTACCTGCATCATCCACGGCGACTACAAGTTTGATAACATTATTTTACATCCTACTGAGCCCCGGGTGGTTGCTATCTTGGATTGGGAGTTGAGTACGCTGGGACATCCGCTTATGGATGTTGTGTATGTGACTGGTCCGTATTGGAATAGGGCTAGTAAGGTGGGTATGCCTGGGGGGCCGACGGTGCAGATGGTGAGGGATGATCAGGGGGGTGATGTTTATGATGAGGAGAATCAGGCGGAGAATGGGTTGCCGAGTATGCAGGAATTATTGGGGGTTTATGAAGAGAAGGCTGGGTGGGATCCGAGGCAGGATCGATGGGACGTTGCGAGGGTGTTCCATCTGATGAGGGTGAGTTTTCGACCTCCATCTTTCCTTGATCATCGCGTGACAGATAACAGCACAAGCTAACACAGATATCAGGGAAGTGTGATCAGCCACGGTATCCAAGCGCGAACCATCAGCGGGCAAGCCAGCAGCTCCTTCTCACATGTGTACTTCGAGAACACGAAACGGGGACTTGACGAAGCACTCCGACTAGTTCGCTCGATGAAGGACAAAGAAGCGCCCAAGAGCACGCTATAGTAGGAATCATACATTTCAGTCATGACCGCCACAACGTCATAACGGCCAACTCTCCACCTCCCCGCTACAACATTACGCGTCAAACGTGCTTGAAGCGCTGGCCAGCTCCACCCGTACCATACAACACGCATTCACTGATCTACATCTCCACCTTCCCCATCCAATGCTCCCCAACACTCCATCTTTCCCTCTCCACTACACTGTCAGAGAACGTACTCAGTCTCCACCCCATCATCATCCCGTCTCCACGCGCGGTATCTACTCGCCAAGTCCGCATCACTCGCTATCCGGGGAGGGAGAATACGTAGACCAACGCATCAATCACGCTCACAGCCCCAGCCCAGCGACAAAGCCCTTGCACGCATGTTCCTCTTTCATCACACACACAGTCTCAGTCAGTCCCATCCCCCTTCCGATTTATTTTCGTGGCTCCCCATCCTCCCCATGTCACAAACGCCAACCACACCCACCCACACCCACCCCAAGCTTTCCCAAGGTTCAATTGCAAATCCCACGACCTGCATCCCAAACCC